TATAGTGTACTGAAAAAAACCAGACATGATCCCAGCCCTTAATGGGGCAAAAACAGAGAGGGAATATCACAGTCGCCTAACTAATTAAAAATAAATAAATAATCTTTGGAAACAGCATTATTGCTTCTGTGATAAACACATGAAGCACACAGGGGGCAGGAGAGAGGCAAACTAGGCTCCCGCGTGCGTGCGCATTCGCTCCAAGGTTTCGTCTGCCTGCAGTGCGGCTGCCTTCTCGTGTCTAAATGATGCAAAAAAATGTATAATAATTCCCTCAAATGCTCAGCTCAAGTTTGACCTGACATTTCAAACGCTACCCGGGAGGAATTGAATCATTTCCCCATAAGCCTTATAAAACAAAGCAATCTAAAAGATGGTTTAAAAAAAATGGGGGTTCAAAACACTTCTAAACTTAGGACAAAATAAATTCTTGGCAAAAATAAAAACAAAAGGCCCAAATTAGAAAACCCAATAAGCGAAATTTGCTCTTGCAGGTTTACAATCATTTTTTTCTTACAATATATTATACTCTACTTAACATTTATGTACATCAATAAGGAAGAACCTACCCGTCTGCTCGTGAATGACAGAGCGGCCTCTCTTACGTGGAGGGGATTTGCCATGCAGTGGGCGGGACACGGGTTTGATTGACAGGCGACTGAAGCAGTGACGCTACTACACAATGCCCGGCTGCTATAGGCCACTATCATTTTAAAAAGATAACGCTGGCCTTTATTTTCAGGGTACCTTATGAGGCATTACTACAACCCCCCACCAGCCCCCCTCTGAGACAAGCTGAAATTAGTGAGCTTTTTTTTTTTTCTTAAAGAAGAAAAAAAAAAAGAGGATGAGCGACAACAGGCAGGTCTTCTAGGTTGCTTTTAGTCCGCGGGCCTTCGGATGTCCAGATGTGTCCTCCCCGATTTGAGCCCACAAATTTTCAGTGGCTGTTCATCTCATCTTCCAGCCTGGGGTTTTGAGACTCAATCTTACACTTCACAATGGGAACCTGCTCAAAAATTAGGAGTCTAATATGCACATACAATTTCTTTGTTGAACTTCTTTGTTCAGCTATTTCAGATATTTCTCTATGGTTTTTCCTCACTAAAATAAAGGGGCAGTTACTCCCCCTTGTGGCAACTAGAGAAATGCATCAGAGATACACAGTTAGCGCTTATCTGTCATGTTACCGCTGACTGCTGATACTTATTCACCTGTCGCACATGGAGATGCACACACACACACTTTCATGCCAGCTTTCTGATTCGATCTGAGGGGCTCCTTCTCCCAGCCTGGTGGTTGTAGCGCAAAAATAACTTTCTTTTTTAAAAACAAGGTGCTAACAACTACAGTCACTGCCCGTTGCCTGGAGAGTCCGGGGAGGGGCGGGGCGATCAATGCGGAGGAAGGAGGGGGTTGGAGATCTCCGCTCATGTCTCCCAGCCCATTCGGTCTGTGCTCTCCAGCGAGAGGGACTTGGTTTTGTGTGGGGAGGCGGGGCTGGGGGGGCTGCTCATGTTGGAGCTGTTGGAGGCTGTCGAGTGCCGCGGGGAGTCTGAGTCCTGCACGTGGGGAGAGAGGGGCGGAGACAATGACATCATGCACCCATTCCGACACTCGGGATTGGCTGGAAACTTCAGCTCGGCGTCTAGCTGAGAAATACAACAAATGTTTAAATCCACTGGTTCCCTAAAGCGGAGGATCACTCTGGGTATTCTACTGACGCATGCAGGGGTTACTGTGCCTAGCTGTCTGCTGACGGCGCAAAGGGAAGCATGGCCCGTCCCTCTGCTGCGATACTGCCCACCCGCATCACATGCAGACCAGGATGAGTGGAGAGGCGTGGCTTAAGTCAGAGGCCCCACCCACAGCCCACCTCCGAGGGAGGGGACATGCAAATGAGTGTGGCACCCAACCTATCAGGGCTCCCTGCTAGAGGGAAAAACGGGAATAAAATCCCAGAGGGCCTGCATTTAGCTGTACAGGGAAGGCAGGGCCGGCAGGAGGAGAGGGGGGAGGGGCTTAGGGACGGCGGCTGATGGGGCGGGGCTTGCTTGCGTGTGCGTCAATGTTACCTTCATCTTACTAAGCAGCGTCCGTAACGCCCTTTTCATGTCGGGGGTCTTCTCCGACGGTGATACAGCCTGCCACTGCAGAGGAGAGGCACATTCAGCGGGCCGCTTCAGCACGGCGTGTCGGTGGGGGGTGGGGCTTATGGAGCCTCCGAAATGTGGGGCGGGGCTTATCGCAACAAATGAGCGGGAGGGAAATGAGATGGGGGGTTTGCTTTTTGTTTTTTTTAGTCTGGACGACTCGAGGTCTCCGCCGCTCATCGGTAACCTGCCATGCGCGCTTGGCCTCTTCGACCCAAACTCCTGCAGGCTGGGTGGAGTTTCCAGCGCCGATGTTAAAAACCCATCCCTCCCTAGCCCAGGTCCCCAAAACGTCCTCAGCAGACTCACATGGTTATGTGGATTTAAGTGCAAAATTAAATATCTTAATATTCTTCATTTTAACTATCTGGTGGTGAAGACTCAGCTGGTCCTTATCCTGCCTCAGAAACAGCTCTGAGGGGGGGGGGAATTGATGAGTTCCAGTGATCGTGAGTGAGTGTGACTCGACCCCCCGGAGGTATGCAAGCTCCAGGGGACGGCACTGGTGAAGTGGCCCACTCTCAACACCCTCACCTCTCTGTCGAACTGCGAGACGGGGGTGTCGGCCCCCGCGTCCATGCCCCCGCCCGACGACAGCGAGCCCTCGGAGGGCGAAGTGGTGGCCTGTCGCCGCGAGCCGTAGCTGCTGCTGGAGAGGTCACGCCGAAGGGCGCTGCCATTCTGGGCCGTGGACCCTGGGGGGACCGGGAGGGTGGGGGGGGGGTATAAGGATCCCGCTCAGTTCATCCTTGGCTGCAGTATAATACTTATAATAGAGCTTAAAGTAACTTGTTTGTCTAAAGGACAGGCTGTGTCACTCGATGCCCAAACTGTGTTAGTGGTGCATGGTATGGAGGGTGGCACTAACTCTTATAAGATGGTCTTTTTTGGGTGGGGGCAGAACACACCCCAAGCCCCGCCCTTAGCCCCGCCCCTGCGGTTACTCACGGGCGCCCAGGCCGCTGCTGGCACTCATGGACCGGCCCGGCTCGGGGCGCGCCTTGGTCATGGAGGGAATGCTGACGGAGCCGCTGAACGAGCGGCCCTCCTGGGGACGGAGGTTCTGGGGGAGGGGGAAGGAGAAGGGGATGGGCGGGGGGGGACGACAACATGACTTCATCAGGGGTGGATCTGGGAAAGGAAGCATTCTGAGCGAAGGGGACAAACAAGCGGAGGCGATGCTGCCTTTACCAGCCATTTCCAGCGGCCATTACGAGGGTCTCATCTCAAAAACGGTAAAAGGCATCATCTCATGTACTTGCGCTAAAAAGCCACGACAGCAACCTACAGTGTACAAGATGCATCTAGAGAAACAGAAACGTGCAAAGCCAGGAGCGGCAAAGTTCACACCTGGTGTACCAGGCCGAATCAGGAGTCACGATCCCACTGCATCATCTCATTGGCCCTTAAAGAAGCCACGCCCCCTCACAGTGTCCTCTGCATACAGCAGGATAAATTTGGCTGATTTAAAGATATTCACACAACTATAGGAAAAATAAACATTCTTAAATCTTAAAATCCAAAAATACAAGAAGCTGACAAACTTTTCTGCAGAATGTCGGATTTTTGTTTTTACTAGTTCTGTTGTACAATTGATTATGAATGTATGTATGGAGAAGGGTCCCGTATTCTGATTGGCTGGTTATTCTGGTGGGCATCCTTTCCAATTCGTTGTTCACTTACAATGAATGCAGAACTGCATAATTTCAAAGCCCCAGTTTGACTCATTCCTTCAGTTGGTTCAGAGGCTGAAAATGGTCATTACTATAAATCCTTCAAAAACAAAAGGATTAACTTGAGTGCTTATGGGACATAATGTCAAAAACTGATTCTGGAAAATTCTACCTGAATGTTTGAAAAGAAATTTTATGGTGCTGTAGGGGCTCTTAAAATGACATACGTTACTGGTAGTAGCGAGCACACGCACACGCACACGCACACGCACACGCACACGCACACGCACACACACCCAAATACATTATCCAATCCTCTTCCTCTCAGAATAAAGTGCACACTAACCTTAGACAGGAACATACTAAGAGATAAACTGAATTCTAGTATCAGAAACAGTCATACTGATTCTACACAGACACTACTGGCTTGTACCAGGGCCCCTTCTCTCTCTCATAGACACGCCCCCCCCACAGACAGGACAGTTGACTGAGACCACACTGCATATGTCGGCCATTAACTAACTTCCCACTGAAATACAAGCTCGCACAAATGCATGCACAAGAAGCCAGCCTTCAGCTGGGGAGGGCAGCACTGCAGGCAGGGGGGAGGGGCGGGGCCACAAGGGCGGGGCCACAAGGGCGGGGCATACCCGAGAGCAGACGGAGACTGGAGTCCCGGGGACAGAGTGCACGGACCGAGAATGGGAGGAGAGGGGCGGGCACTCGTGGGACAGGAAGATCTCGGCAGAGCGGACAGTCATGTGATAGACGTGCTCAAAGCCGGCGGGGGCAGAGATGACACTCAGTTGTGGCGAGGGGGGAGGGGAACATGGCTACAGCCAGAAGTGGGGGAGGAGGAGGGGGGGAAAAGGACCAAGAGAGAGAGGAATGAATAGAAAGGACAGCAACAAGACCCACAAAGACCCTGGTGCAGGATGATGTACGGACTGCCATTTTCACAAGCCCCTCCCATACCTGAAGAACCAAAATGAGTCAATAACTACAACGGGGGGAATGCTAATGCTAGCTGACACTGGGTCATTTAAAATGGAAAAAAAGCAAAAACGTCACGGGTGAAAAGCTGTAACAGTTAGCTTCTGAAAATCACAGCACTGCCGTTAAGAGGAGAGAGACAGACGAGTGTTCAGGCCTCCTGTATGCGGTGGGGAGGCCTGCTTCCTTACCAAGGGCAGGTCTTTCAGGATCTGGATGCCATCGCCGGGCCCCATGTGGGCGATGTGGTTGAAGTTGGTGGGGTTGGAAATGAGCTTATTCCTCATCTCTGGGTCCCTCAGCATCTCTCTGCACACCAGAAGGACAAAACAATTCAGCACCACAGCTGGAGCTCGGTCAGGAATTAAACTCACACCTCACAGCCTGCCGCTGAACTGCAGCACCTCTCTGTCAAGCAGGTAAACACACCCATCAAGCACATCTTTGTTCTCATATAGCAAAGAACAAAACTCCCTTTTTTGTTACCTGATGTACTAACCAATAAATGAATGTCTTACTACAAATCGCCAGCAATTTCTAGCAAATCAGATAACTGCATGTTAAGATGTGGAGCCACCAGTGGAATGCAGAGTAAACAGTAAGTGCTGCGGTGAGAGACACAGGGTTTGTCTCTATAGCACAACAGCCTGATTAGGTGCTTTGTGAGTCAGTATTACTTCAGCTACTGTAATTTTGCTGGCAGTAATGAAGTTTGCATTTATTCTGACTTGAGGACAGGGTACAACTAATATTGTGCTAATATTATTGGTGTCGTCAGTGCTGAAGGTGGACTCTGGGCCTTAGAGCGGGTTTGCGCTCTGCGGGGGGGAGCCGGCGTGCACCTCCGCTGCTGGATCCTCTCCTCCTCAGGCACACGGAAGGAGAAGCGGCGCTTGTTGCTGAGGCTGCGAACCATCTGCTTGCGGCTGTTGTCAGATGTCTCGGGCAGCACCAGCTCGTCACCCTCTGCGGAGGTAAGCGTGGTGGAGTCAGTGCAGCATGCCAGGGAGAGTCTCAGCACGCGGGGAGAGAGTCAGCGCAGCGCGCCGGGGGGAGTCTCAGC